AGAAATGAAATATTATAAAATTTGACTACTATGGACACATGGACTAACTAGAAATAATACACATGTCCTCTTAGTAAGCTCTTATGAGGAAAGTGTCCCCTGATCTAACGGAACTGCTTTGAGGCAAATTAGCACATAGGGGCGTACATTTAATTTTTTATTTGCTTGGTTTTATTGGAGAGGAACTTTCAAAAGAAGACATGAGAATTATTGAAGGCACTTGCTATTTCTATCAAGTAGTAAATGAGGGAAGTAGGCAAAGTTTCTACCCTATTTTATCATTGCATTGTGAATGGTGGTTAATTTTCATAATGAAATTTAATTTGAATAATCTACCACTACTATCTATAAGTAGGAGTTAAGGATTTTGTTCAAGTTACTAATATTATTGATAAACTCTTCTCATCTCACTATTGTTGCTTCTCTTTTGAAGAATGAAAGACCATCCTTGTGATGTTTGGCAATGTCAATAACCATAAATTATGATGAACAATACTTAGCAAGAGAAGGTGTTCAGGGTTGAGGTCAAATGGTGGATATTAAACTAATCCACTAAGGCGAAGAAGAAGGTCATGGGGTTGATAGTCAAGTCAAGCATTATGAGGCTAACACACAACCTAGAAGCTTATAAGGAACCAATACAGTTTGTTGCTATGGTGGGAATGGTCGGGTTGATAGATCAAATTTAACTTCCCTAAGTAAGGTTTATTAATTGTAACACCTTGAAACCTAAATTGGAAATAATTGTATCTTTTTCTTTTCTTAATCATCAATTAAAATTTACTAAATTCATTCCATATAATATAAATAGCAAAAAATATAAACATTGTTATTCATCTCATATTTACATATTATTCCAAAATCCAAAATGACATATACAATAATCATGATAGACAGCCCATCACCAAAACATGTTATGACTACAAAAAGAAAGAAAAATAAACAAATACATAAAGAGAACATAAGCATACTACCTAGATCAATCTCTCTCCAATGGTTTCTTATGCTTACCTAAAAATATGTTAAAATCACATAATGAATATAAAAGCTCAAAAAGTTACTAATATCTATAACTAAAATCAATAAACAAAATTTTAAATAAAATGTAAGAAACCATATTCATATCTTCTAACTGCATTTCAATATTATGGGTTGTAGTTGACATCTCCTCAATTTCAACAAACCTACAATATGACATCTCATCCTCTTGATGTACAGTTTCTACGACGTATTGTTGATCAATTATCACATGTGCTTTTATTTTTATGATAGCTAGCTAATCTTATTTATCACTACGACCACTAGGATACTTGCTGAAATAAACTTAAACAGCTTAACTTGTTAACACAAATGGATCAAACTTCTCGTATCTCTGTGTGGCTCGTACTCGTCTTGTGAGATCCAAATCTAGTAGTCGGGAACAAATCCCCTACGATATAATCGACATTCATATCATCGGGCGCTTGAGAAATGCTTGATTTGTGTGCTTCGAACATGGACATCTAAACATTTCATCGAACTTAAAGGAAGGTAGTTGATATGCAACTTGAATAAAAGTCTTAACTCCCTATATAAATTCTTTTGTCAATCCTCATTAACCCAATAACAATCTGTTATACATCCAATATCTATTTTCTTGGATAATCATTTGGATGTTAAAAAATTGTTCCCTACATAATTGTGAAATCAATTATTAGAAGATATGCAGCCTGAACAAGTATGCTTTACTTTTGAATAAATGTGTTTTACTTGAATTGAAATGCATTCACCAACCATCCAACAATAGTTTAGGGTTTGATACCTACATTTGAACAAGATATTAAGCATTGAAGGTCTAACCACCATCTTATAGAATTTTCCCTTAAGTTTGAGGGGGCTTTTCTATCACACAACAAGTCCGAAACATTCCTCCACTTTAACCATCCAACTTGAATTCTAATAATAAAAATCCTATCTATTTCACCATCACTCAAAATAATAGACCGAATATATTTAAAATATATATTCTTATTAATGACTCAATCACTCAAGGTCGCAATCTTTGCTTCATAACTCTCTCCAACAGTTTTAAAGTGTGATGACACATTAGTAAAAGAAAAAAAATACAAAACTTTCATTCGGTGCGTTGTCGATCGACGGCTTTTGGCAGTAGAATGAGGGTGTGATTGGCAGCCAGAGTGAGGGCGAGATCGTCGGTTGGAGAGAGGGTGTCAGTGGTCGGAGAGAGGGTGTGGGCAATCGGATTTCTACGGAGGCAGTCATAGGGGTGATTGCAAGTGAGCATTTGCAGAAATGAATACGTGAAGAAATGAAGAGGAAGAATCGGTTTGACCAATATTAGGGCAATTTCTGCCAGATATTTGGCAGTTTAGGCCACCGAAAAAAAAAAAACTACTTAACATCGATGGCTTGGTCGTTGGTAAAGGCACTGTGAAAATAGAAATCGGCGGCCTAGACGGGGGTTATTATAACGCTGCTAATTTCGACTATGTATTGTTAAAGACTGTCGGATACATTGCCGGTTAATACCGGCGGTCAAACAGCTGGTTTAACCGCCGATAATTCCGATAGTTATATGGTCATCGGTAAAGGCCGAAAGGCTTTCGGTAATCCCTGATTTTCCTGTAGTATAATAGCCTTAGAAAGGTCCCCTTTAATGATATTCTAGTAACTTTGATAAAACTTACAGGTAAAGCCATTCGAGCTCGTAGTAGAATCCTTGTTTAAATTCATAATTGTGCCAAGAATCTCTTTTTCATTAGGAATCTTGCAACAACAACAACAACAACATCAAGCCTTTATCCCACTACGTGGGGTCGGCTACATGAATCCTTTTTCTCCATTGTGTCCTATTAAAAGTCAAATTCTCGTTTAAATATAATAAAGAAAGGTCATTCCTAATATTTTCTAACCATGTCTTTTTAGGTCTACCTCTACCTTTCTTAACATAAGTCAAATCAAAGTCAACAACATCATTAGGAATCTTGGACAAGATAAAATTATCCACGATAGAAATAATATGAGGGATAACTTAAGGATTAGAGACATCCTCAATGGAACTAGAAAAGCCAAGAATGGATTGAAAGTGAGAGGCAGCCAAAGTCAAAATAACAAGTTGATTGTCAGACCAATCTTGAGACTCTAATTTAATTTTTTTAATATAAGAATTTACTCTTTTTTTCAGAAGAATGTCAAATCATTTAAAATTTTTATCACCTTCAAATATGTATTTAGAATTAGCCTTTTATGCCCGTAGTCCTCTTTTCTCCTTTAATGATCAATATGAAGCATTTTAGCATTAAGAAGATTTGTTTTGTCAAGATTATTAAGATAGTCAAAGAAAAGGTTCTCTAATTTGATCACCTCATGCTTGGCTTTAATAATATTTTCAAAAATATTGTGCGAAGGATTTGTTTCAAATCTTTGATATTCAAAGAAAATAAGATAATGTCATTAGTTCCATTATAGTAATACATGAGAGCTTTCCATTTGTTCTCCAACCTATTATGGAAATCAGGATGAAGAAGTCACACAGTTTGAAATCTATTGGGAATCCCCCAGTGATCTCAATAGGTTTAATAGATTTTAAAAGAGGAGCGTAATCCCATCAACTTTGGCTAAGATGATTAACTTGGGTATTAAGAAAAAGAGATAACCAATCATTGTTAAACAAAATTCTATCTAATCTTTCCCACAAGTTATAATTAGACCAAGTAAATTTTGGACCAAAGAAGTCAATGTCAGATAGACCACAATCAAGAATCATATTATTGAAATCATTAATCGTAGCCAGATTGGGAGGAGAGCCACCAACCCTTTCCTCAGGTTTAGAAATAACGTTAAAATCACCTCCAATAAACCAATGACCCTTGTAAGCATCACAAAAATTATTATGACATTGCCACAGTTATGACCTACCATATCTTGTAGTGCTCACTTAAATAAAAGAACCCATCACATTTATATTAAAAATATATAAATTATATATAGTGAAACAACCTAGCTAAAATCACCAATATTAGCCAGATTGACATGATTCTTCTAAAAAAGCCAAAATTTATTATTAGAGTTACAAAAGGAGAAAACAAACCCCAATTGACATTGACAAGAAACAAGCTTAGAAGCATCAACCATTGGCTCTAAAACTGCTAAGAAGTAAACGTTATGAAGCTTACAAAGATTACCAAGTCTAGAACAAGCGTTAAGATTTCCTACTCCTCTAACAGTCCAAATAATAAAGCTAATCATTAACAAATAGATTTAGAGGAAGTTTAAAATCTAGTAAACCTAGAATTAAGCAATTGATCTCCACCTTTTTTTTCTTTTTACCTTTTCTTTTATATTTAACAACTTTGAATCCCTTGACAGAATCAATTAAGCATATCCTCATGATGTAGGTTATGCATTAAAACTTCCCTATTCACATCCTCCTCTTATTGGATTTTCTCCTCTTCCCAATTAGATTTCGATTGATCACCATTGTGATCCTCATTAGTATTGACCGGATTGATGTTCTCATTAGACATTTCCAACCTATGTAAGTTCTCCACAATATTGTCATTACACTACATCCTAAGCACTAAAAGAATACTCTTTAAGCTACTGAGCTCAAGAAAATTTATAATTTAGAATTGACATATTTTCCAGTCCTAGTCTTATTACAAATAAATAAAGCAACAGGAAGCAGCTCTGCTCTCCTTGCAACTATTTTAAAGCATTGCCCAATTCAAATAATTCAACAAATGAGGAGGAAAGATAAAAAAAAATATCATTCTTTCCTCCTCTTCTTTTTAAAAGACCACCCCCACAACATTAAATAATTTAAAAGAAAAGGGAGCAAATCAAAGCAAGAGTGCCTATGCAGCATGTGATGCAGCTCACCACATAAATTAATTACAAAGATTAAAATAAATAAAAAAATAGAAACATCTACTTTCTAAGCTTTCTACTGCCTATTTATAATCATCCACACTGATTGTTCTATGTTCTGTCCTCTGAGATCTCATCTGGCTCTCCTTCCTTCACTTCATCTCTCATAATATTGTCTTCTTATAACATATGGATCCTATTCTCATAGAGAAGCTGCAAGCCATTAAGAGATCCAAGAACAAAAAACAGTTACTCCTCCCAAGGTTCATTAAATTTTTGTTATCTGTCTTCTCACTTGGCCTCTTCCTCTCAAGCCCCCTTTGGCTTCCTTCCTCCCTCCCCATCATAAAGATGGCCGAGGCCATGGCTTTCGGCCCGAAGGGGCTTTTCGTCGTCTGCAATATTATTGTCCTCGTCCTCATTAGTGAGTCAAAGCTCTCCAATAAGTCTTCCATGAAGCCTGATATCTATCAGGAGTATGTAAACAGAAACAGAAGCATTCAGAAACTGTCTGGTAAAAGATACAATGATGAAGCAGATATGGATATTGAAAAAAGGGAAGGAGAAGTAGAGGAAGGAGCAGATGAAGAAGGGTATGAAGAATTAGAAGAGTTAAACAAGAGAGTGGAAGACTTCATAGCAAGGGTGAACAAGCAAAGGAAGCTTGAAGCTAAAATGCTAAATTGATATATTGCTGTAGTTGAAGAGGGAGAGAGCTCGCTTTATAAGTAACAGAAAACTGTTTTAATGTAACAGAATCTTGTGAAGAGGTGTTTTATAAATTTTTATATGTTATGTGTGGAATTATTAAGTTTTGCGTACAAATGCTTTGAACTAAATCGACTTTTTTTTTCTGGCTCTATTGAAATGTTCATTCAACATATTGTTAGATTTACAGAGATAATATCATGAAAAATATTTATAAAATTAAGATGTAAATTAATGAGTTGATTATCTTTTAAAAAGGAAATTTACATAGATGCCACAAAGTTTTATATATTTATTTATGCATATAGTATATAAATTTTATATTTATTTACATACCACTTTAATGTATAACTCACGTCAAAGTATTCATAAGGAAAAAAATATTTTACTTTAAAAAGGTTAATTTTAATAAATTTTTTGATATAATTAAGAGAGATAAACAACACTAAACTTTTACCCCCACTACTCCTAAAATCCAAGAACACTTTAAATACTACATCATTCGATATTAGAGCGAGAAAATCTAAAATCCCATAGCCTTTATCCTAAAAGTGGGTGAAAATGAACAATCCAATGAAGCATCACCATCACTATAAAGAGCAGATAAATCACATTAGAGATGCAAACAAGCCCAGTTGAGCTCGAGTCATTCCTTTACTTGAGCTCGACTCGCCAGCCAAATTCCAAACTTGAACTCGAGTAAAGCTCAAAAGGCGAGCTTGAGCTCGGCTCGTGGCACTGAAAACGAGCTCGCGAGCAGCTCGTGAGGTAACACCCTCACGTGATAATGCCGGAGAGGAAGAACACATGACCTTGAAGAAGAACATGAAGGCATGCTGTCGCAGCGTGTCTTGAGCTTGCGATTTGGTACATCCCACATGAGAAGATGAGAAGAGGAGGAGGCTATGTTTTTCTTAATTTTGTTTAGAACTGTTTTGAAAATTGCTAAAGCTTTATTTTTGTAGAGCATCCTTTTTTCTTGGGAAAATAAAATCGTTTCAAATCATTATTAACAGATTTTATTAGAGAAAAAAAAAATATTTGTTGATTTTTCAAAGAAACAAATTTTAATTTGTTATAAAACTAAAAGTCAGCTCACAAACCGAGCCTCATCAAATTTGAACTTGAGCTCAAGCTCCACTCATGAGCTCGTTATCGAGTCGAGCTGGCTCACAAGCTGGCTCGGCTCACTTAGATTCCTATACCACATTACTTCACCAATATTTTTATCCAACGAATTATTTGTATTTCAAGAGGAGATCTTATATTTAATCAATAATGCAACTTTAAAGCAAGTGACAACATTTTTTTTTTGGGTAAAACCCACTTTGGGGCCTACGCGTTAATACTAAAAAAGGTGTTACAAGGTCCTTAAAAGAAACCTCCAGCTCGCCAATGCTCATAAGTGCTACAAGAAAAGAAAATAAAACTGGTGAGTGACCTACGTCCACTCACCAGAACCTCTCATCCGGGTATTGCACTAAACACAATGACTCTCCTTTTACTCACACATTAAGATGGAGAAGCCTTTACAAAACTCCTTTCAACCAACTTCGGTGAGGCATAGAACCTTACCTTCTTTCACTTCCTCTTGAAGCAGGAAGAGAACCTTGACCTCCTTTTGCTTCCTCCTGAAGTAGGAAGAGAACCTCAATTGATTGCTGAAGTAGACCTCTCTAGAACCTCCAAAGAATAGGGACGATGACTAGAGAAGATGACTCATATACTTTCTTAGAGAAACCTTTATGAAACCATCACAAACTCCCCCTCACAAGATTCTCTCTCTCTCTCTCTCTCTCCCTCTCCCTCTCTCTCACAAGCTCTTCCTCTGCTTCTCTTGGCCCTCTCAGGTTAAGACAGCAACAAAAAATACAATTTTTAGTAAACAAGAGTTCTCATATAGAAGGGTTTCAAATTTGCCCTAAATTGTAGTTAACTGACAAAGTTCGTCCTGATAATCCTGTACGATCAGTTCATTTTTAGCTCATTTGATCAGTACGATCTGGGAGGGGCTGCACTATTAGAAGATTTATTTGTTCTTTTCATCAAGGATGATGGTACATTGTCCTGTACATTTAGTTCAAAATGTCAATTATCGTCCAGAGCATCACTATGTTCTGTCAGACTTTACATGTTAGACTATGAAAAAATATCTAATCGTCATGGCCGATTCTTGGATCTTCTAAGACGATTAGTTTAAATCAATAAATATCATCAGCACATCATTTTGTTCATTCAGGACAACTCAGGAAGAAACTAAGGTTTTTTAACAGATTGTCCAATATGATCATATGATCGTCTAGGATGATATGATCGATCAATCAAACATTAATTGATTTCCTTAATCATCAGACTATTTTAGGCATAATTAAAATGGATCATCCAGGATGATGTCCTATATGCTGTCTAAAATAATAACATGCCTAAAAGAGTTGGCAGCTGATTCTTTCTGATTTGAACATATCGTCCAGGACGATGCTAATATCATCTGAGAAGATTTGCTTAATTTGGCTGCCTTAACCAGGATGTCCTAATTAGGGTTTTTATTTTTAAGTCATCATCCAGGATGATTTGGGATCGGTCTAAAAGATATGATAAAAAACAAAAAACTCTAAAACATATAGAATTTTTCCTCATAAGTATATGTGTGCTAGGTTACTTTGCATCAGGATCCACTTTGTTACATTTGACTAAAGAAAAAGTAAAAACACTTGAAGTACACTTAAAAAATGACTCAGTTCTATTCTACCCAATCTTGAGCTGACTTGATTTGTAATTGACCTTGTGGACCTGAAACATTAGTAACTAGGGCAATAGTAGAAAAACAAAAATTCTAGAAATATTTTCTATAACAAAATTATAATCCTTGAATACAAATTTGCAACACTCATGAGGAGACGGTGTCCCACTGCTTCATTCACTATGATAAGCTTCAACAAATATTAAACACCCTTAGGAAGTGGGGGTCTCGGCCTCCTAGTTATACAATCCCTCCCAGAACTATTTGGTGAGCTCAATATTCTTGTTAATAGTAATTCAGCCTTAGGGCGTATTTACTGCTATGCGGTCTACCAATTATGAAGAACAAAGAATGCTATGAAGCATGGAAGACTACATGGTTCACCCAAGATCCTTCTTGCTTCTACGGCCCTTGGCTAAATGTTTAAGACTTATTTCATGTCTATCTTGTAGCAATGGTGCATCAACCAGCCCTCTGGGAAAACTAGCTAGCCACAAGCTGTGGTGCCCGCCCCTCCCGGCTAGCTAAAATTCAGCATTGGCAGTTCACTATGGCCTTCCGGCCTAGCTGGACTTGGAATTGTGATTCAAAATCATGATGGGGAGCTCATCTTTGCAGCTGGATAGAATTTCCTACACTCGGATGCTACCCAAGCTGAAATACTAATAGCTGCTGTTATCAAGGACCATTTGTTAGATTGATTGTTTTAATTAGAAGGTATAATTATTGAAGGAGATTTCATTAGTGTGATTAAGTGACTGCTTGCACTTGCTGATCATCATAACAAGATTCACTATAACCATGAAGGGTTAGACCTTACCTTCATTTTTCAGTATATCCTTAGGGAGTGCAATCTTCGAGCATACCATTGGATGATGTACATAATAGTGAAATTCCTAAAAAAATTTGTGCATGTTAAGGGATGATAGTGATAAAGCATAGCCTATTTTTAAATGTATTTATTATTATTCCAAATTTTCTTAGATATTTAATTTATGCTTCATTTGGGAACTTTTTTACTGTTTTCTAAAACTATTTTCTAGTATACACAAGTTCAAAAAAAAATTGTACTAAAAAATTATTAGAAAGTAATGAGAAAGTTGTCCCAAACGAAACCTTAATCTCTCGGACCCGCCAAGTTAAAACCATTTTGATCCTACCATGAACTTTTTAGGGTCAATTATATATCTTTGGCTAATATTGGGTTGAAAAGAATTTAAGAAATCTAAAACACTAAAATAAAAAACTTTCTTCCACCAATATCCACATTGGTAAATAGAAATTTTTTTTTGGATCAAACCCACCACCGGACTTGCGTGTTAATATAAGAAAAAATTACAAGTCCTTAAGAGAGAGATAAAGCTCGCTACTAGCTGCAAAGATGACCCAACCCGACACGGGAAGGAGCGAGCACGGGACGCGAGCGAGCGCGTGGGACACAAGCGAGCGCGCGGTGCGAATCTGTGAACCCCAACCCGTCGGGACAACCCAAACCCGACCCATTTTTTCAAACGGGTCGAATCTGCGTACCCGAACCCGACCCTTTTTTAAAACGGGTCGGGTCCAAGCCGGATTTTTCGGGTCGGGTCAGTCTCGGATTTTCGTGTCGTGCCAAATATTGACACCCCTTCTCGCTAGTGCTCAGAAGATCTACAATGAAAAGAAAATAAAACCATAGAAACCAAAGATCTCAACTAATTACATAAAGTAAAAACTTTGAAAATTTCTACGGGAGGCAAGAAGTCATCACCCAAAAAACATACAAAGAGAGAGAGCCAAAATAGATCTAATGAACAGCAAGCATCACTGTTAGATTAAAATTTGATGAATTGAATGACTAAATTAAGCACGTAAAAAAGTTTTGAATTAAAACAAACACTACTAATAACATAAAGTGTATTTTGATCATTTATTCCTTAAAATATAAACTTCAAAAATCACTATTATCATGGTAGTAAACTTGGAAAAAAAACCAAATAAATATATAGGACAAAGATACTATGGATTATAATCATATTATACAAGTTATATGGTTCAGAGTGATCCGCCAATATCCACGACTACAGAGAGATCGAATAATTTACTACATTAAGAAATTCTTGATTTTCCCTCGACAATTATCATACCTTAAAGGGAAGTTGCCATCAAATCCTCTTTAAGAGATTCTTATTTTATTTCATAGAAAACTTAAGATTTTTATTACACTATATATGAAGAATCTATTTGGTTATTTCAATATCACAAAATTCTAAAACTTCTTTCCTAGTAGAAGTGTAGTGCTAAAATCTTTAGTGTAAACAGAAAAGAAGTCCAGCACTAAAATTTCACACTTCCCTTTACGACAAGATCTACATTAAGTAGCT